TAGATCTCTTGAAGGAGACACAGTGTTCTTGCTTCTAGCATTAACAAGGCTTGTGCGTTCAGCAATTTTTCCCTGTTATCATGTGACAGGCTATTTTTAATATTTGCCTGAATATATTTGGCATCTTCCTTTGATCCAGAAGCAGTTTTGTGAGGCTTGTCTGCATATTGCATTTCCCTTGCCATAGCAGTCCAGAGCAGAGCTTTTTCATTTCACTGCAATTTCGGCATTGGCTGGTTATGGCAGGAGCACACAACCATGCGTGCGTGCCTGCTGCTCTAGAAAAAGCCATGCTGAGCAGGCTGCACAGGGGACTGCCACGTGCCTAAAGCACATGGTCATGCAGGCAACAGCCATCCAGAGTCTCACGTGAGAGTCAATGTGAAGAGCAGCTCTGGGTAGCAGCCTGCCTGACGCTTTAGCCGGTCATTCCCATGCTGTCACGTGGGAGACCAAAGGTCAGGAAACTCCCAGCTCCTCTTGGTGCTGGAGGTAGAGTCCTTCAACTAAGAGAGGGGGCTCACGTTGTAGCTCATGCAACACCTAGTAACTGCTTGTAAACAATGATTAAAGCTTAGGAGAGGATTCCACATCCAAGCTGGCTGCTGGGAACACTGCCCTTCACACTACAAAGGCTGTGCTGGAAGAGGAGGTCACATTAAGAAACACAGGGGAAGGAAGACTGCAATAAAGGGAGTGTTGCACACACACCCTTTTGTGGGCTGCTCCCTTCACCAAGTCATCCCCAATATGCAGCTGAGAGGCTGGATGGAGCAAGAACAAACCTCTCCCAGCTGGCTGCTGTGCCACACAAAGAAGAGTTAAAGGAAAGTGCCAAAACCCACCCAATCACACCTCATGTCAATCATAACAGTTCAGTATCTACGTAAGAAGCAAAAGGTAATGAATACTGCACTCTACATGAGATCTCTCAGCTGAGTAAGTAAAACCTATAATAAAATCTGTGTTCTTGAGGGGCCGAGAGGGTGTGTGGAAGGTATAACTACACATCACATGGAAACAGTTTTCAGCTTTTTGATTAATCTACCGCTAGATTTCTATTTTTTTTTAATTTAAACTGGAAGTGAAGACTTGCAGATATTGCACATCAGTGTATTTCTGCAGCAGATTATAAAGCTTTTCTTTTTTTCTTTCCTTAAATAATCTTTGGCAGATCCTTTGCAAGTAGCCTAAAGCACCCAGCCATCCAGGCAACACAGACTGAAAACCACTGTCAGAGGAATGTAAGAAAAGAGGGAATTTTTTCAAAACCTCCAACAGCCCTATCCTTGAGGAGCAGGGTAGTAACAGAACATGAGCTATCATCAGCAGCATCCCTGTGGCATAGCCTTACATTCAAAGATTTGATGGCAAACAGAATTCAGATTTAAACCGCAAAATCCCCAAACCCTTCTAATTAGGGTCTTCCACCAGACTTAGCTGACGCGTCTGAACTCCAATTCACTCCCTTCAAACCCTTTACAGTAGTAATCCCACTCACCCAAATAAGGGCTACACAGGAAAAAGAACCAGGTAAAAAGCAACCACCAACGAGTTACCTGCAAAACACGAACCTCCCTCTACACACAAACAGCTACAAATACTCCGAATTTCCTTAAAGGACTCTGCAGTTAAATGGAGATTTACATTCCACCAAAAAATTGGCAGAAGACAACACAAGGTGTGCAACACATGAAGAACGACAAAAATATATTTGCAGTTAACAGGTCACTTTAAAAGCTAGGTTTATAAGATATGTGCTCCTGAGGTAGACTACAGATTTCAACCAACCAACCAGCATCCAATAGAGAGAAAAGATAAGTTTTAAATGCATCTACAGGTTACAATGAAGGGTGGTCTGCAACACTAAAATAAATCAAAATACTATTGTTTACTAACAAAATCAGTACTGTGAAAAAGGAATACATCAAATTCCACTCTTGCAACAGCCATTACCCTGTGTCCCTTCTCTTCAAAAGAAAACCAGTATTTGCTGTATGTGCATTCCCTGAACAGAAATTTATGGGAAAGCAGGTGCTTGCTGTATTTTTTGATAGAGTCCAGAGAAAAGATGATAAACTCATGAACATAAACATTTTTCCGTCGACCAGACAATCTGAGCTGAAAATACCGAATTAAGTTAAATTTATAAGGAACCTTCTTTTTTAAAGGTAAAACAAAACAAAATAAACCCAAAAAAAACCCCAAACATCAGTGAGAATTTTTGTAACGTCATGTTTACAGTCAGGATCAGCTCAGCTTTGCTGAGCCTGATGACACTTTGCAGTGACTGCCAATGCAGATTTCCAGATCTCTTCCAGAGATGGTAAAAAATACATATTTGGGCAATACCATCAGCTTCTAAAGACAGATAAGGCTTGTATTTCAACACAGGCACAAAATTAAATCTTCTTGTGCCACTGTTCTGCAGACCCTCTGCGTCTGAGGTACACCGTGTACCTACATGAGTCACATTTGGTGTTCCATGTGCATGTGTACATCCTCCCCCATACGCAGTACATGCAGGTATAGGAGTTTTTGAGCAACTGCACGTGATACACTGATGCTAAATGCTGCGGAGCCATTTAACATAGGGACATAAGCAGTACAGCATTTCACCCTTCCTTCAGCCGGAGTCCACACACTCAAAACAGGCTTCCATTATAAGACAAAATTCAGAGGACAACAATTGAATATTTTTGGGAGAATTGCTATCACCTTAAAAATTCAGTTTTCCTATAAACAGTAGGATGACATAGAATTAGTTTTTATTGAAACTGTATATGGTACTATTTGTTCTTCGGTTTATTACAATAATACAAATCACAACAGCCATGTATACAGTAACTGTAGCTCACACCAATTAAAAAAAATCTTTCTTCATGTGACAGTTTAGAAAATGTATTTTAGAAGTCTTAAGATATATTAACCAAAAGGCTCCATCATAATGATTTTAACATTTACCTCCAGACTAACTTACATATTTCAAAGCAGCACATTTCCCTTGGCACTTTTATGACAACCTTAAATGCTTATTTTTACTTTTACTAAAAATCTGATTTTGAGAATACATACTGTCCTATTTTAAAACTTGCTCAAATGCTAAACTCTAAGATGACCTCTTCAAAACAGATTGTCAGAATAAGATTTTTACACAACATAATAAAAATTTCAATCACCTGATGGTAAACCAGATTAAAGTTCATAGTACCTATCTGTAAAGGGAGTGGGAGGTTAGGGAAGGAAGAAAATATTATTTTAAGAAGTGGACTGAGCTCCCTTTTAAGAAACACGTTTAACAAAAATATTACATTATTCTTAAGGCAAGATGGCGAAGGAGAAAAATACCTGCAAATTTAGACATTTAATCCTTCCCTAAGAGATGTGACTTCTTTTACAACAGTAAAAAGTGTACAGAGTTTCTAGTGAGAAAAGTTTGTAACCCTGAGCTTCAAATGGCTGGGGAAAAACTCAAAAAAAAAAAAAAAAAAAAATCAATGAGTTGAAAAGTCATGTGGACAGCTGATTACAAATAAATTCTGACAGGTGATCATTAAAAGCCTGGCTCATAACCAGGCTCCTTTGAAAAAAAAGGACAGATTATTTGCTTTTAATTTTATGGGTGCATATGTGACAGAAAATGGTAGCATATACACACTATTTTTAAAAACTGGCTCAGAAAAAGCAAGGGTATTTTATATTCTGCTCTTGCCAACTCCAAATGTATTTTAACTTTGGAAATCCGTTTAAGTTATTAGTTAACTATGAAATGACTTGAAAATTAAATACAAAACAAAGTCAAATCCACATAAAGTAGAAGAAAATGAAACACATGACTAAACACACACATCTGACTTGGGGCCAACAAGTCTGTTGACAGGTTTGGGGTATTTTGGGGTGCATTACATTTCTTTTTAATGAGAAAGGAATGTTGCAGACTTGTAAGACTTTTCTATTTCATCCTGCTCTACAACTTTTGTCCTTCTATTTATTTATTTTGCCTCCTTATCAGATGTTTCTGACAATGACTTCGCACACTGAGCATGGCAAATGATCAAGCAGAAGGGAGAGGAGTGGTTTCCTGCTCCCAAGAGCACACTTTGCTCTAGCAAACCTTGTGTGAGCAGAAGAACACAATAAATAAGTCATTCTTGGTCTTTCTTTTTTTAATAAGAAAAAAAAGGCAAAGCACCATTTTTCCAAACGACAATGTTGACACTATTCCACTGACCATGATCTCAGCCATGCTGGTGTCAAGCCAGAGCAGTTATTCTGGATTCGTACTTGTGTCTCTAAAGAGATTATCTCAAGTGCTAATAAACTAATAGAAGACTTCCACTGACATCAAACGGGTTTGAATCATGCATTACAATCAGAAACTGGACTCCATGATGTTTTCTTTGCCTACAGCTTAAGGTGACTATAGATGTAATTTATCAACTCAGCTCAGAGTTACACTCAGTTTATGCTGATTTAAGCAAGACTATAATGCAGTTCGAGAATCTAGTTCCCGCCCCATATACTGTGACAAATTTTACTTTGTTCAATAGAGAATAGTATTATGGACAGTATTTCAAAAAGGAAGTATTGTCTTTTAAGTTTTAACTTCAAAATAGTTGCCTACTCCTGTATTCTCACATGAAGCATTGGGCAAAGGAATATTCTCTTTCACAGTAACTCACCCTGTTCATTTAACACCGTGGCATCTATGCATTACTGTTCTGTTTGTGGTCTTTTTCTTGCTAATAGCTAGGCTATCAATGAAGAAAAGAAGGCAAGTCTCCTTCAAATTCCCACAGCTTCCTTAAATTAAACAAAAAAAAAACGTGTAGGAACTTAGCAATAACTAGACCTATTATTTTTATTTGTTGGAGTGTAAGTGACTTGAATTGTATCAGCCCTCTCTAAGCTGCCTGACAACCATACAGGGAGAAGTAGTGATTTACACTGGGGAGGAGGCTCACATCAAAATCCACAGCAAGGTCTTAGGGCTGATTTACCTGGTCTGACCGGGCTCTGCATGCAGTTCTGCGACACCATGCCTGGATGGACTGAAGTAGAAGCCCTGTTGCTGAGGTCCATGACAGAAGGTGATGCTGAGGTAGCTTGCTGGAGACCTGACTGATGTGGGCTATGCTCGTGCTGGTTTGGGCTGGGTGGAATGCCATTTTCTGAGAGGAATTCTTCCAGGTCCATGTATTCCAACTGGAAAGTGTCTCCATCATATGGCAGTGTCTTGTCCCATAATGTTGGGCCCAAGAAAGCTGACTGAGGGACTGTGGTACTGGTGCTGTCATCGTCTAACTTCTTCTCTTTTTCTTTTTCTTTACCAAATGCTTAAACAAAACACATAATAAAGATATAAGAGCTGAGCAATTAAAGGATCAGCTACTACTACTTCAGTTATTTCTCTTGCACTCTCAGTTGTAAAAAAACAACACTCCCTTCATAAAAAATATCTCCTCTGATGCAATCCATTTGGTAGAGAATTGAAGGGTCATGCCAACTGAGCACCTCTCCTGGATCCAACCGTATTTTTGAGATTTTCCTCTATTTTTAGTTAACAATTCCACTGCATGCATGGCTTTGAATGTCAGGTTCAATAAGTAGTCAGACTTAAAAGCCTTTCAGGGGAAGCAAACTGGAAGATGTTATGCATTCTGTTGAGAACAGTCTTAACCTAACATCACCATAATTTATTATCCTCTCATACTTAAAAATTGAAGCCCCAGTCTTGCTAGCCCTTACACAAGGAAAGTAGTCCTAAAATTCAGTACTCAACATTGCTGTAAGCTAGGAACTTGCAACAACAGTGCAGTCTGACAGAATATGTATTCTGACATGCAGAAGAGCAAATGAAAATTTCAAAGGTAGAAGCAAAGCAAAAAGAGAAGTTAAAATGATGCTTCCTACTCATTCCTACAATATCCACTGATTTCAATGTACATTTTTGAAGGGAAACACCTATTTCCCTGTAAGATTTGCAAGAATCTGAACCAATAAAGCTTCCTGTCAACTACCATGCCTTCTTAGCATTTTCTTTTTAACCACACGCAACAACACCCGTGAAATCGTGCGAGTCGCTTTGCATTACGACTCAGAAAGTTAAGGACACAAAAAACCTTGGCTGTGCAAGACCTTTCACAGCTTTTTAACGTGCATTTGCTTCGTTAAAAATGTAACGTGCAATTATGTCTGCACTTCCTCGGCTTTCCAGAAAAGTTTAAACTTTCTACCGTCAAAGCGCCTTTCAGTCATACGGGGCCAGGTTTCACGGAGGGTGGTTTTTAAGCGGCGGGCGGGCGGGAGCAGCTGGCCGCCCCGAGGGGAGGCTCTGGCGGAGCCTCGGCGCAGGCCAGGGGGGCTCCACACCGCCCCCCTGCGCGCCCCCCCACCCGCTCTCTCTACCCAACACTTCGCCCGAGGCAAACCGAGCCCTTTAATTTATTTTTTTTTTTGCGGGCAGCCGGAGCCGTCCCCGCTGTAGCTCCGCAAAAGCGATGGAAAAACCGAGCGCCTTCCGTTAGGTCAGGCCGACTGAACCCATCGCTTACCGCCTAATGCCCTTACCGAAATCATCCCATTACTTAATCGCCTTGGGGGAGTCAAAGGGGGGGGGGGGGGGGGGGGAAAGGGAAAGCAAAGCAGCGGTCCCTGATGTGGCGGCAGGGTGGGGGCCGCCATTTCGGGGCGCCTGCCCTCACCGGGCCGGGCTGTAAGGGGGGTCTCGGGGGGGCAGAGCCGGCCCCGCGGGGCCGAGGGAACGAGGGCTGCCCGGGGAAGCCTCACCGTCTTCGTGAGCGAGCGGCAGCTTGAGCGGGTTTTCCAGCAGGGACTTCAGCACCCCGTAGGTGGGAGGTAGGAAGGTGGGGTTCAGCGGGAGCGGCCGCGACATGGTGGGCTTTCCCTCGGGGCAGCTGCGCGGCAGCGGTTCCTTCCCCTTCCTCTCGCGGCGCCGCTACGGAGTGCGGTGCAAAGGGCGCGGAGCCGAGCCCGGCTCTGAGGGGCACCTGGAGGCCGCCGGAGCAGGGGAGCGGGAAAGGCCCCACCGCCGCGCAGCTGCAGCTCCACCGCCACCCGCGCCGCTCCCGCCGCCCGCTCTGCGCTGCGCGCCCCGGCCGCGCGCCCATGTGCAGTCGCTGCCGGCGCTGACGTCAGGCGCGGCGCGGCACCGCCATTGGCGTAGGGGCGCGGTGGACAGCCCCGCTCCCCCGCCCCCCCTCCGCCACCGGCACGCGCGGCGGCCGTTACCCGCGGCGGGACGGGGACAGCGCGGGGGGGGGGGGGGGGGGGGCTTGGGGGAGGGCGGCAGGGAGCGCGGCCGCTCCGCTCCCCCAGGTCCGCGGGGAGCCGTCTCCCCGGTAACCGGGAGGAATGTTAATGAGTTTGCATGTTTGACCTCGCTCGGTGCATCCGAGCGTGAGGGCAGCGGGGAGCGCGGCGGCACCCCTGAGGGGAGCGGGGCGGGCGGGCACCCCCGCCGCCTTGGCCTGAGGGCTCCGGGCCGTGCCCAGCCCCGCGGGCTGAGGGCGGCTGTGGGGGACGCGGCGGGGGAGCCTGCCTTGCCGCCCCGGAGACGAGGCGGGTGGTATTTTTATCCATTTCTAAGGGAACCGGTTCTTGGGCTTGTGAGCGTTCAGTTTCGGAGCCGCACAGATTTTCCATACATCTCATTTCCGTAAGCAGATGCCAAGATAAACCAGGGCGAGAGAGCTGTCACCACTAGCAGGGTTCCCACTATCTTGTCCTAATTGTGTCGGAAGGGGCTTTCCTTCCTACTTGCTAAAATACTCGTTGCAAGTATGGTTGACTTTCTATCTGCTTAGGCCTTCAGCTGCCTTCTCGGGAGCTGAGCTCTATGCACATAGGCTTTTCAAGACCTGCAGTCTCTCTGGAGTAACTTCCACCCTTTGCTGCTTGCAGGCATTTGTATTCCCTTGCCATTTTTGGATGGCATTTTGCAAAGTTTTACCATCTGCATTTATTTCTTAATCTTTCTTCAAAAGTCCATTCTTTCACCATTAAGCAATAAATAATCATAAGCAAATAAAGATAAATCATGTGCATAAACTTTTAGTTGGATTGCCCAGCATTTAGAAATGAAAGCTGTCTGAGGAACAAAGTCTGCCTTGAACAGTTACGTTCTCTTATGTATCTGCCTGTGATTAATGTGCACTGACTAGTATTTAGACAAATTGGACTAAACCAAGCAACTCATCAAAGTCCAAAATACATTTAAATCAGTAAAATTGCACTGGCTCAGTCAAAACCTGAAGACTGGCAACTGTAACCATCAGGCCCTTCAGAACCAGAGACAGCGTAATATTGACATATTTATGGTAGGGCTGTGCAGGGGTTATGGAAGAACCTTCAAATGCCACCGAGGCAGCACGGCTCACGACTGGGGGGCTTCAGGCAGGAATGTGATAGTGGCAGCACAGTAGTTTTTAAGTCACCTAACCAGAAATAAGCACTAGATTATGAAATGATTGTACACATACCAACATTGCCTCAGACGGCCAAATTGCTAGTTACTGGAAACCTTTAATTACAGAGGTACAGAGTGAGTGACAGAAAGATTAGGGCAATGATTGGCAATTCGTATGCAGATGTGGTACAGAATGTTTTTCTATGCAGTATAAAGAAAAATACCTTTAGGAGATCTGGTAAGCAATGAAGTAGACTAAACAGAAGATGTAAAAGTGATGGGGATACTGGGGAATATCTGTAAGAAACAAGATTAGTTAGGGATGTAATGAAAGCTCAACTTAAGCAGAACTACTTACCTTTTTATGGTTATTGACCATTACAGACAAAAAAGACTGAACAGAAAGGAACAGCATTTTCAGTGCTACAGAATGACAGGAAAACTGCACTGTTTCACTACCTGACATTGAATAGGATAAATTATGTGTAGATCTGTGCAAGTGTAAAACAAAATGAAACAACCAGATGCTGAGGACTGCATACAGTTACAGACCCGGCATTCCCAACAGGCAGGAGCTGGGAATTTCCTGGGTGAGAAAGCCGAAACAATTCTTCCAGGTACATGGACCAGCCAGAAGAGCTGAGCAAAATACCCTAGTAAGGTGCTGGAGCTGTTGTTTCCAGTCCCACGCTGCAACAGGAGCAGTAATTTAACTCCAGCCTTGCCACACAGGCAGGTTTCACACCAAGCAGCCTCAACTGCCAGGCTGTCAGGACACCACGTTGTTTCTAGACACTAGTGTTGTGTGTACCTATGTTACCTATTTTTACTGGCTACACTTTTCCAAAGGTGGTCCCCCCAAAACCTTCACGCTCTTCTGACCACTGGCTGGCCCCCCACGCTACACTCCAGGTTAGGCTAACACAACCGAAACAGAGCTAATGATACGCTAACTGGATTTCTACCTTGGCATATATTCTTAGTTTAGCATTCACCCATAAAATGTTTACTTTATGGCTTATGAAGGACTATGACAGCTTCTTAGTTTTTGTATAGAAAATATCTTGATCGGTCTCCAATTAAAAAAATCCAAACCTCAGACAATGTTTATGTTTCTGACCCTGGTGTTTCCATCACATAAATGTAATCAGTTTTATGGTCCAAAGATCCTCTTTTTGAAACGAAGTACACTGAAATTAACGTAGCGTTTCCCAAGATCATCTTTATTAAAAATGTAATTATTTTCTTCAGCAAAGACAATTTGAACAGTCAGCCGGAAACTCAAAAAAACCTTTACACTTTTAAAGGGTCCTTCCACCCACAAGCCACGCACGCCAGGGCGGGACACCCGTGTCGTAACCCGGGGAAAGCCGGTTACCGCAGCCCTGGGGCCACCCGAGCAGGACCGGCGTTGCCTCGGGAGCTCACAGCACCGCTCTGCTCACGCACCGCAGTTCGCACCCTGACCAGCTCGGGTTGTTTGCGGTTTTGTTTTATTTTTTTTCCCGCAGTAGGGAGTGTTACCGACCGGCACGTGCAGGGCTCCACCCCGGCACCGCATCCTGCCCGGCCGCTGCCACCGCCACGGCGGGCTGACGAGCGTCCCCCGCGGGACCCCGCTGGCAGGAGGGGCCCGTACCCCGACACCCGCGGGGGGAGCTGACCGCGGCCCCCACGCCCGCGGGGCGCAGGGACCGCCGGCGCTGAGGGGGGGGCGGGCGGGGCGGGGCGCCCACGGCGAGGGACGCCACCGTCACGCGGAGAAGGGGGGAGAAGGCGCGCGAGGGCCGTCACGTGAGCGCGCGGGCTGACCTACTTTGGGCCAATGGCGAGGCACGGGGGCGCGGGTGGACGCGCGTTCCCCCCCGCGCGCACCGGCAGCTCGTGCCGCCGCCTCCCCTCAGCGGCGCCGGGACGCGCGGCCCGCCTGTCCGCTGGCCTAGGAGCGGCCCCCGGCTCCGGTCCTCTTTACCTCTTGCATTTGCACAGCTTGCTAATTGGTAATGGGGAATTCTTTTCTGAAATATCTCCTGGAAACAGGATTGCGGTTGTTCTTCCCCGTACAGAAAGCTTCAGGGAGAGTTTTCTTCAGGGATACATCTAACCACCATCTTCCTGGGGACCTGCTTGTATTTTTTCCATTAACGCGGGCCAGCAGGACTGTGCAATAATCACAGCTCAGCATAAATGTCTAGACTGATAGGTGGAAAGATACCCTCTCCTGGCCTGGAAGACAGGTACACCACAGCCAGTTTGTAATCTAGAGCTCGCACAGCTATTTAAATATGAATGGGTCTGAAGAATCCAGTCCTTTTCTTTGACCATGTTACTCTGTCTCAGGGTTCAATAGGACCAAGCACTGTAGGTGCGATTTGAGAAATCTGTTGAATTTGAGCAAAACTTACTCTGATCAGGTACGCATTGCAGCTAGTCTGCCAGTGTCACTTAATTCCTCTGTTAGGTTCCTTGCTCTTAAGTACGTTTTGTCTGGAGAAGAGAATTGGAAAAGTAGGAGGGAAGGACAACAAGCGGTGAGGTGAGGAGAAAGGATAAATAATGCAGGAGAACGGGCTTTTTGGTCAAGGCACAGGACAGATTGGAAAAGCAAATGTTTAACAGTACCTTAAACACCTACTGGTTTACTGACAGTGATCCCCACCTCAGCCCTTTAGGAGCCAAAACAATGGATGATGGATAGAATGAGATGCACAAAAAAACGGGAGAATTTGAAGGGATTTAAGATTCAGCCTTTGTTTTAGTTCTACTTTGTTCTACACCAGCGAAATATTCCCCAGTTGGTCTCAGACAGTGGTACATTTCCAGCTATACTGTGTGACGCATAATTCAGAGGTACGTAAAAAGCTACAAGTACGTTCAGATACCCACACCCTAACTGGAGCTAAAAAGCAATGGCTTTTGAAGACAAGATTGAGAAGCACCATCCCCCACTTCCTTCACCATTGTACAGGTTCTGGAAGTAGGTTGGCTTGGCTTTCCTAGTGAAAGCCACTACCAGCAGCGCTGAATTACTTAAAAATTGATGTTTATTGTCCACGTGGTATACAGCTGAGTGAGCTGCTGTGGCTCCTCACAAGAGGAAAAATGCTTGTTGAATGAACCATGATCTGCCCCCGCCTTTTTTTTTTTTTTTTTTTTTTTTTTTTTTTTGATTGAATGTGGGAGAGACAGGTTTAGAACTGCTTTTGGATGATGGCAGAGGAACTTCTCTTAAGTAATCTGGGGTGGTTCCAAAAGGCATTCCAGTTCTCAGAAAAATAGGTATTACTAGTCTCTGCTTATATGCTAGGAGTTGAAAGATTAGTAATTTTCTCTGCCAAAGTTTACAGTCAGCCTTTACCATGACAGTAGATCAAATACATGTAGTTGCCCGGGCAGCTGACCTGGTTTGAACTCAGCAAGTGTTACTCTCAATGATGACTACATTTCTGGAACAAATACTATGCTGTGCTTTTTAAAGCGACCTTAACCTTGTAAAGCATTAACCAGCCACTCAAGCCCGTTTCAAGCACCTTGTGCCCTTGGTGCCTTGGAGCATTCTTTAGACCTAGTAGGTGTAAATGGGCAGATGACAGAATTGGATTGAGACAAGCGATAAGGGAGTAAAGCTGGCCTGTTTTGCAGTCAGACCTTCCCCCGAATAAGGACAACTCCCAGCTGGTGCCAATGGGAGAAACAACTTGATCCTTCCAT